GCCGTATACCGATATAATAGTAGCATTTAACCTCTTTAACTCCTTGATGAAATCAATTGAGATTGATAACCTCAACGCAACGGTTTCGGTTTAACCAACAAAATTGATCCCTCTTAAGTTTATTAATCACGACCGTGCATTAACAAACCGAAGTTACTTACTTGTGAAACTATCAACGATTAACCATCGGTTCGTTGATCGTTTCTAGTAATAATCAATGTTGGGACGTTAACTAATCGTCACTTAGCAACCCTCCAACAATGATGTAGAATGAGATTAAGGGAAGAATTAATAATCAAGAAGAGAGAGTAGGAAAATAACTCACAACTTTAATAATCAATCAAGCTTCAAGAGCAAAACCAAGAAATGGAAGTTTAGCTCCTCATTTGGAGACTAAACATGCTAAAAGAAATATAGAGAAATGCTATTCTAAACTGAGCTTAAGAGTATAAAGGAATTGGTGCTCTAAAAGTGAAGGAAAGGAGGTGTATTTATAGGCTTTTTGAGGTGCAGGTCGAGTACTCGATCGAGTATGTATACATACTCGATCGAGTATGTGTAGAACATCTAATTTGCTCTATACTCGATCAATACTCGGGTAGTTTTTATAGCTATACCCGATCGAGTATAGAGGTATACCCGATCGGGTATAGACACTGGATCGTGGGAAAATCTTCTCCTGCATGTTCCTTTGTTTTCGGATCCGATCCGATTTGAAATGTCAACCAGATACCCGATCGAGTATATAAATATACTCGACCGAGTATAGACCAAAATCAGGATTCTCTTTTTGTCTTGTGATTTTTGTACCTTCTGTCCACTTTTGGGGTTCACCAACTATCCTTTGAGTGCTTGTAGACCTGTTTGAGCCCAAAATAAACCTAATCTAAACTTTTTACAAGAATTTTAACAACTAAACTATTACACCAAAAGTGTGTAATTTCCAAAATGCTAAACTACAAAAAGTAACTAAAAATGCAAACATAAACATGGAAATTACACATGTATCAGGAGGTCCTAGGAGTGAAAATTTGAAGAAAATTAAGTATCATGATCCAAGCTTGAACGATTGAACACAATGATGGCGTCGTGCCGCGACGTTAAATTAGGCGCTTCTTGGGAGGCAACCCAAGCAAGGTATGTTTTCTTTTCATGTTTATTTCAGTTTGTGTGCGTGTAAAAAAAAAAAGAAGAAAAAAAGGTGTATTTGGAGACATACCCGATCGAGTATAAGTCAATACTCGGTCGAGTATGTCTGGAAAATCAAAACCACGAGCAGCCTGTCTCCTATACCCTATCGAGTATCTATCAATACTCGGTCGAGTATCACTGGAAAAGCCATATTCACACCCCCTGTCTCCAGTACCCGATCGGGTATAGAGAGGCACCCGATCGGATATACCTGCGATTTAACCCCAAAACACACCCCAAAACACTTCATCTTCTCCAAACACCCATACCAACCTCGACCCCTTCTCCCCAAAACTCCATTTTTCTACCTTCTCTCTACCATATCTCCATCATTTCCCCACCAAAACACCCACAACCCACCAAAAATCAAAATCACCCTACTCCACAAACAACAAAAGCCGAAATTGGGCACTAGGGACAGTGCTTGAACTAAGTGTGGGGGAGGAGACTCATCATGGGTATGTAATCTTATTTTCTACCTTTTACTACGCATGAACTTCTTTAAAAAAAAAAACAAAACAAAAAAAACAAAAAAAAAAACAAAAAAAATGAAGAAAAGAAATGCTAGTTAGGTTGAAAACCCAACAAAATGGGCAATCTAAGCAAAAAAAAAAAGGCTTGTGAAAAATGATGAGTGAGTTGGGAGAATGGAAAATGAAAAGAGATGCAAGGATGAAAACCTAAAAAGGCTCCTAGGCAAAATGAGAGATATGAGAGTAATATTTATTTTTGCATGCACTCATTTAATCTCTTTGGAGAAAAAGAGGAAGAAGAGAAGAAAAAGAAGAAAAAAAAAAAGACAAGAAGATGGAGCATAGAAGATCATTAAACCCAAGAAAGAATGTTGTTGTAAAAACTCATTTTTCCCCTTGGTGGTCTTAGTTTCCTTCTTTCTTGAACTTTTGGAAAACTCTTAAACCGGTTGGATGTTTCTGTTTTACTCGAGGTCGAGTAAAGAACTAAGTGTGGGGGAGTTGATACACTTGTAATTTCCGTATGTATGTTTACGTTTTTAGCTAGTTTTGGTTGTTTAGTATTTCGGAAATTACACACTTTTGGTGTAATAGTTTAGTTTGTTGAATTCTTGTAATTTGTTTAGATTAGGGTCATTCTGAGCTCAAACAGGTCTACCATCACTCAAAGGACGGTTGGTGAACCCCAAAAGTGGAAGGAAGGTGCAAAATCACAAGACAAAAGGGAAAATCCTGATTTTGGTCTATACTCGGTCGAGTATTACCTATACTCGATCGAGTATAAGGTTGAAACTTCAAATCGGATCGGATCCGAAGACAAAGGAACATGCCGGGAAGATTTTGGCCACGATTTAGTGTCTATACTCGATCGGGTAGACCGACATACCCGATCGAGTATGCCTTTGAGTTTAAATCCGAAATCGGTCGAGTATGGCTCGAATATCACTTTCTGCACATACTCGACCGAGTATGAACATATACTCGATCGAGTATACCTCGAATCTGGTATTTCTACACATACTCGATCGAGTATCTGTATATACTCGATCGAGTACCCGAGCCTGCACCTCAAAAAGCCTATAAATACACCTCCTTTCCTTCACTTTAAGACACCAATTCCTTTATACTCTTAAGCTCAGTTTAGAATAGCATTTCTCTATATTTCTTTTAGCATGTTTAGTCTCCAAATGAGGAGCTAAACTTCCATTTCTTGGTATTGCTCTTGAAGCTTGTTGATTATTAAAGTTGTGAGTTATTTTCTTAACCTCTTTCCTTGAATATTAATTCTTTCTTCAAATACTATTTCTATATCAATGTTGGGGAGTGTTGCTAAGATGACAATTAGTTAACATCTTGATATTGGTCTTAGTAATAGCTATTCCTTCCTCTATGTTAATATTGGGGAGTGTTACTAAGATGACAATTAGTCAACATCTTGATATTAACTATAGTAGGATTCATCTTCTTTAATATTCTTCCTTGAGTATTAATTAATCCCTAATCATATTGCATATTAATATTTTGAACATTACTTAAAGGATCAACTAGTTTTGTTTCATATATTAATTATTACTAGAAACGATCAACGAACCGAGGGTTAATCGTTGATAGTTTCACAAGTAAGTAACTTCGGTTTATTAATGCACGGTCGTGGTTAATAAACTTAAGAGGGATTAATTTTGTTGGTTAAACCGAGACCGTTGTGTTGAGGTTATCAATCTCAATTGATTTCTTCAAGGAATTAAAAGATTAAATGCTACTATCAAGTTGGTACATGGCGTTGTTCTATACTTGACTAATAGTAAGGGTTATTAATGAACGGTCGTTGTTAATAACTATCCTCGATGAATTGGATATACTCCTCGATTGAGTATTCGAGAGGAGATAAGTTATAGATATAACAATGATCGACTAAAATATATCAACAAGTGTAAAGTAGCAATACCAAGTCCCTTTTATTCTTGAATTTAATCCCATATAACTCGTTCATTTTCGTGTTTAATTTAATTAAATCACTCAACACACAAACCCCCCCCCCCTTATTTACTATATTCATAAAAGAAAGTTATTCCTTTCCCTGTGGATACGAACTCTACTTCACTATACTACGTATAAGTGTTGTATTGAATTTACTTTGAGTGCACTCACGACAAAGTGCACGTCAAATATTCTACTCCCTCCATCCCGAAATTAACTTCCACATTTCATTTTTGGGATGTCCCAAAATTAACTTCCTACTTTACTTTTTTTCTATTTTGGTGAGCTTCTTCTTTAAAGGGACCCATTTGCCCTCTACTTTTACTATTGATTTACCTCCATCAATTAATTTGGACCATTGCATCTCTTTACTATGAAAGAGTAATTTTGAAAAGTCAACTTCTACTTTTTTCTACCTAAAAATCCGTGAAGTTAAATCCGGAAGTTAATTCCGGAACGGAGAGAATATTATATACTGTATATAGAACATGATCATATTACACTTGAAAGTCCGACCACATATTTGCATTAAAACAATTATATTTATAATTCCTCTTTTCTTTAATCCAGTTTAATTCTTTCCAAAGAAAAGTACTCGAATTTCAAAATATCCGTGTTTGATAAATTTTATGACTAAAAGCAACATAAAAAAACATGCTTTTTATAATAAGAGTTACATCCATGTTTTCAGATATCTCATTGAATCATATATCTGTAATGCATAATGCACGTGTTTAGCAGCTTAGTAAATTAGTATGATATATTTGTTTTACATCGCAATCTTTATTGAAATTTCAGAAGTTATCTTGCATAAATTTTCCTCAAAGGATGGATAACCTGAGCATGTAATTTTTTATTTCTTTCCAAAGAAGTTTTTATACAAGTTTTGTTTCCAAACTTTCCTCACAGTTTGCAAAAAAAAAAAAAAAAACTTGCCTCACAAAACATAATATCCCTTTGCCATTTTTGCACTTCACTTTGCTCAAATTATTTATCATTTTCCAGTTTAGTCAAACAATTTCTGTTGTCCGATTCGTTTGTCACCCCCCCCCCCCCCCCACCATGCCTTTCACAAAACCAAGTATTTCAACTCTATGCTGTCATGCTAATTTTTACTCTATTAATAACTTTTGTAAATGCATGTATTAAAACTTGTACATGCAAACCAGACTAACTGAGATGATTTGTTCAAGATTTGGTGTACATGAACTACTACTATTTTGAGAATAAAAAGATTATAGTCATATTTTAGTATTGTTACATTTTGGAGTAATCTTACTCCTATTTAGAGCTAATATCGGTTTTTACCCAGAGCAGATCTGGTCCATGTATACTAAATGTCACTGAACTTTGTCTATTATGTTCATTTTGAAAAATGTCTAGATGTTAACTTCAATTTCAAAGTTATAGATACGAGATACAATCATCCACAACCAGATAATGTTTATGATATACGGCAGTTGCTATACACTTACTACATTGCCCCAAAAATGAGGAAATTACAAGTATGTAACTACAACCGGAAATGTCACTCTCCGTGTATAAGACGAAACCCATGACTAAAATCAAGGCGAGTTAAGAAACTTTCGGGCAGCATCCAAACTCAGTTCTTCAAACACCTGAAAGCAAAAGAGAAATGTTCTATGTTTGAGAAGATACCAGGAATGTACAAGGATTTGAAAGAAAATACAACCTGAGGGGTTCCATCAATAAAGTGATCTTGTCTTACTTAACTGATTAAGGAGACGAAGTGATTTTGGCATAATTGGTTTTTTAGATTTACTTACAAGTTTCTTGTAGACTTCTTGAAATGACTTGCAGAACTTTTCTGCTTCTTCTGCTCCAAGCTGTAAAACATCATCCAATTAAGAAGATAAGGAGACCTAATCACAAGTTTACAGCTATGATCTATCATATTCAACTAGTTTGAACGAAGCTTGATTCCCTTTGACACATTTAACTTTTGATCCCCAAGAAAAAGAGAAGTTTACAAGCAAGTTCAGTATATCAAAGTTAATTAACCCAAAAGAACTACGTAGTATTTGCAAAAGTTTAAGATTTGTATGTGAGTTGTTCCTTGCCAAAATTAAAAAGTTTTACCTTGACCAAACATAACTCTTTATTAGGGATAGAAGGATTATTATGTTTATACAACAACACATAAGCAATTTTCAGACAAAAAAATCAACACAGAGTCCAAGTTGACTTTATGTACTGCATCTTCTTTACTTGTTTAGATATATAAATGTTTACAAGTGAACCACTTCAAATTTGATAATATCGCATACTGTATTTTGATAATTTGATATCAATTTGCACCCCAGTCCTTAGGCAACATAATATTGTACGTAGTTTCTCTCTTCCTAAAAGTGTCCTGCATCCCTTCCCTTAGATAAGGTCTATTTTTTGTTGGACAAAAATATATGTAGTAGGAGGGTTAGGAAATGGTTCATGAAATGGTAAAATTATCTCGAATTTAGTCCTAAATGTAAGTGATGAGATAATTTAATGGGTAAATTAGAGATAATTTAGTCATCTCTCAACACTTCTCTAACCCTCTCCCTACTTGTATCATTGTCCTTTTTGTTTCCACAAAAAATGACAAAAACTCCATTAATCAGATATGTTATCATTTTTTACTTCATTTAGCTAGTCTAGAATTTAAATTCGCACTACACTTCGTTGTAAATTATTTCTTCCAAACTAGCAAACATTCTAATTCTAATCCTTTTGTATGGAGGCTTCGTCTTCCATATTTATCATAAATATTTACTTCTCTTTATCCCGCTGCAAAACTTATTTCAACATCTAGCTTTATTTCAAAACAAACACAAATTTCCATATCAGTAGAGATTACTAAGAAGTGAAAATTGTATGGTGTGAGAATCTTCAAAGGAAAAAACAACGAACGAAGTAAGTGTTATTAAACATATGATATGGTTTGAAGTACACATAATCTTGCTTCTACCAAATTAACTATGGCTGCGCAGACATCTATCAATGGAGGAATATAAAGAGCGAGAACTATGTGACTAAATTCATTCTTGTACTTGTAATAATTGGCAAGATAATAATGCATTTTGAGATTTTCATACAAGGGATAATACATGGGCTGTCAAACTCGTCTAATTAACTACTAAAGTTTGTCTATTCTAATGGACAATGAGGCATAACACATTTGGCAGGAGGATATACCCTGACCTTTATGTCGCTTATGCCTATCTTAATAGACAAGAAGGCATAGCATATTGGTGTTGCGTTGATAATGTAGTTTTGGTATTAAGTCATGTTGACGTAGAGGTAGGACAGTTATGGGTAGTATGGATACTACTCATTAGTTGTATAACTCTAATCACTATTCGGTGATAAACATAGAGTTCATATAGAGGGATTGTAATTGTAGCATTCCATTCATTTTATTCAAAAAGAAAAACAATCAAATTCTCTTTGTAATTTCTATTGACCAAAATAATGTCACCACTCATTAAATATCTATCTACATTATTCATGAACAATGTTCTAAAAGACGCTAGGCGCTAGTCGTGCGCCAGCCCGACACCTAGCGCCTAGGCGGGCGCCTAGTCGGAGACTAGTCGAATACAAAGAAATTGCATTTTTATCTATATTTTTTCATAAACATGATAAGTAAGATTGTATTTTTGTGTGTATAAAATACATATACATATATACACATACATTAACAAACATCAATTATAGAATTATCACATTTAATCATATGTAGTATATGATAACTAATCATTTAACTTCATTATGTTATAAATATAAATAATAATAATAATAATAATATTTAGGTATATATATAAACATATATAGTTTTTATCTCAATTTACAATTTCATTTCTTTATATTCGTGGCTAAAGTTAAAGTACTTCTACCGCTTAAAGAAATTAAAATTAAAAAGTAAAGTAATGTTCGGCGAATCTAGACGGCCTAGACGGCTGATTAGGCACTCTGGGCGGGCAGCTAGACGCCATAGGCGGCCAACTAATTCACTTAGACGGAAAACCAATTAGTCGGAGCGTCTAGACAAAAATCGGGGCGTCCGGCCTCCGCCTAGCACCTAGGCGGGGACTAGTCGGACGCCTAGAACGATTTTTAGAACATAGTTCATGAATTGCCAAATTTTAGACATATCCTTCCTTATAGAGGTTCAAGGCTATGTTTCGATTTCAAAAAAAGCTAGGGAAAGAGAAGAAAATTATGACAAAAGTTATATTCTTATGTTTGGTTTGACCTAGAAATGCAAAGAGAATGAAATATATAACTGTTTCTAATTTTTTTGTCAAATTTTTAGAGTTTAGATATCTTAGTATTCATATATGTAATATAATAGAAATAAAGTAAATAAACGAACAAATAATAAACATAAATCTTTTGAGTTTGAACCAGTGATTCATTTCCTTCAAGTTTTTCTTCCTTTCTTCTATAATTTCCTCCCAACTTTCCCTGGCATTTTTTCGAGCTTCAAATGACCGTACAGGTCTCATAATTTAATGCGCTCTAGATTTTCTTGGTATCCATCATATTAACACCACTTTAGAATACAAATATGGAGTAATATTCTTATGATGAACATTTTTACAATTTGCAATATTATAAACTATTTCCACGCATGAAAGCGTCCGCTAAATGTGGAAATTTAACATGATGATTTTCTCGAGAGTTGAAAAGAAATAAGTTGAGAGGGGGGAATGACGGAAATAAGATTGTCTACTTGTAAAATCTCACAAATCTGCACTACTAAATAGTGGTCACTAATCTAGATTTTATAGTGTCATTGTAATAACATGAAATTATTCAACATGCTTTAGAGCCTCAACATAATATTAATGACAACAAGAATGGAAAATGATACACATATATGCACTAGGCAGAGCAACAATTTCTTTTAAAGAGCGATTAAGAACCTATTGATGCTTAAATTTTCATATTGGCTAGGTTATTGAGTTGTGAGCACATGTCCAGTGGTGTCTAGTAACAGTTACAATTAGGCCAAGCCCTTCTACGTAGATAAAGATCATTTTCTATGACTAATCCACATACATTACTATGGTGTTCTTAAATACCAATGTAGACTTACTGAGTCACCGTCAATAATTAAGGGGGGAAACAAGTCAAAATAACAATAAATACCTGTTTTTCAGCAACTAGCATGACTTTGTCCCAAAATGCATCTGTTTATATTAATGCATCTGGTTAAATACAATCTTAACCATATGAGACAACAAATTCAACTGAAGAAAACTTAAATTGCACTAGATCAACAATGACTATTAAGACACAAGAAACTCAGAACAAGCCCATGAACGACCTCAATACATAAATACATTTCACTATGAACGATCTCAATGCATACCATGGTTGTCGGTATTCTTGGTCTCCATACCGCCTTTATTCACTCTTTCCTGGTGATCAACTACTTGTATTAGAAGGCCAAAAACCTATAAATCAAATCTAACATAGTAACATCCAAATGACTCTGGGCATTTACCACAAATTCTCGCAACAATGTTTTTGATGTAATCAACTTTCTGGATGATCTTGATGACGCCAAATTTCTTGATGATCTTGACGTCGAAAAATTCCTAGACGATTTTGATGTAGCTAGTTTTTTAGATGATTTTGATGTCTCTAGACTCCTCGAAGACTTAGATGTGTCCAAATTTCTCGATGAATATGTTGCCTCTAAATTTCTCGCGGATCTTGATGAATCCAAATTCCGCGATGGCAGTGATGTTGATTGCATCATCTCAGTTTCATGCTGAGAATACAAAAACACAAAATTTTAAAAAACGCATAAAAGGAGATTGAAATTTAAAATTGCATCAGCTTCCAATTTCCCATTTCTCCATCATAAAGAACTAATTTTGATGGAATCTCCTAATTAATGAAACATCCAACTTTCAAGAAAACTAGGCCGCATATGATGACATTGATAGTTATAAGAGACCTTACATGATAATCACGGGTGCGGATGACCGGGAAGTGCTCGAGAAGGCGATGGAACTCAATATCATCCATGGCCGGAGGCGCTATCTTCCGGTTCCAGATTCGAACGATGATTTACACTGTTTACGTTATTCTTGGTGCTGAATTTTTGGATGTGTTTCTTTCAACCATTAAGGGGAGAAACAGATGGGATGGAGGGAAATTAGGAGAGAGGGTGGTGATGAGTGAGATGTCAGTTAATGGTTTACTCTATAACAATCTAAAAGTGGGGTAGTTTGCACGGAGTAATAGTTTGTTGGTTTACATATTTATTTAGTCTCTCTAAATATAATATATTTTGTTTTATATCCCTGCAAAATTATTATTTTTTGTTTTTCATCCCTATAATATATGTTGTTTATGTTTTTAGTCCTTCAACGATGATAACAAACCCCATTTCAAATTAAACAACCCCGACTAATAGGTTTCCTTTAATTCTTTGTCATGCTATTTAAAAAGTATTTAATTTTATTTTGTAGAAGTTTTTTCATACATATTTTAAAAATGTGAGTAATTAGGTTTACATTGATTTTAACTCGCATATTAGTTTAAAAAAAATTATAAAAATAAATTTAAACGTATCTAGTAGATATATGCAACTGATAATATGTTTTTTCATGGGTAGAGTAGTTTCAGAGTTAGAGATGGACTAAAACCAAAATAGTGCATATTACAGGGATGAAAAACAAATATAATATTTTGCAGGGACCTAAAACAAAGTATGTCATATTTGCAGGGACCAAAAACATATTTAAGCCTAGTTTGAGCCACACAGCCCACTGCCCGGTTCCGCCATAATCCAAAAAGTCAAGCTCTGTGCGGGAAATGCGAAGGATGGAAGTATTCCGAGTTGAAGCATAGGCGAGAAGAGCAGAAGAGATGGGGTTTCAAGAGTTCTCCCTCCAATACACATTCACTATTCCTGGCTCCCTGAGGCGAGTATTCCGAGTTGAAGCATAGGGTTTCTCAACAGCATTTACTTACAAAGAAACTCAAAGCCATCTGTTTACCCTTCTTCAAATCCATTTACCCTTTCTGATACCAAAAGCCATGAATAATTGGCAAGCACATGCATCGAAGGTGGTTAGCGTAGTTGTCAGTAATTCCAAGGAAAAAGCTCCAATGGAACAGGAACTATCCTGCACAGCAGCCCGAACAGCATTAACATGCGGGCGTGTTGTGATAGATTTTTTCGAAGGGACTCATGAACTTGTCGATGTTATTCTCAGGCCGGCAGAAAGCTATTCGACATAAATTCTTACTACATATGCGGACGCAAAAATAGAGGTGGCGCTCCTATTTTCTAAGATTGCCAGCAACTCTACTGCGAAAGATATTCCTAACGCTGAATATTGTATGAACTTGATACTCGGTATATATGAAACTGTTCATGGTTGCATATCCCGGTGGTCGAGTGCATCTAAATCAGGGGATGTTAAATGCACTAGCTGAGATAAACGATAAAGGGATGGGACTGTTTTTGCATGACGTGAGTTCTTGTAAAGGCTTTGCCGGTAGCACATTGGTTGATGTTTGTGGGAGACTCTTGGGTATACATATCAAAGATGGCGAAATAGGCCAAGATTTCAAAGAAGCATTAGTCATAGGGCATCTATTTCCGGTAATTGAGGGTATTGTGAAGCGTTATGGTCTTGTTCTTGCTGATCTTGTTGTTGGTCCTTCTGGATTTGTTAATTCCCGAAATGCATACACATACTTGGCTAATATTGCAGAACACAAGGAAGGTATACCTTTGCTTGAATACCTTTTGGAGGATTGAACATCTTGAGCATTCTACCCGCGTGTATACACTCTAGAATGGATTCATTAATTGTCAAATTAACATTCTAGAATTGAGCTCAGCAATTCTGAAGCGGCTCAATGATTAAAGTGCATTCTAGAATTGAGCTTAGAATTGATTCATTAATTGTCAAATTAACATTCTAGATGATGTTCCTATTATGATGTTTGGACCTTCTTGAAATTTCTTGGGTGGGAAGTGATAAAACCGCTTTGGCAAAAAAAAAGCCTAGTTTGTTTTTGGAAATCGTGTTTGTTGGGAATCAAGCATAATTGTCTAATAATTATACTGAAAAAAGGACCTTTTGTTTCAACAAAAACACCCTTATAAAGTTAGAGTTGTTGCCCACGTCATCGGAATTCTCGACCGTCGTTATCAACCACCCTAATATTTTTTCAAGAAGCTCTCCACTGAGCTGCCAAAATTCAATCGCCTCCATCTTTGGAGAACTGTGTTGCCGTAATCATTGAAAAAGTGTGCCGTCGACAGGAGCAGCCGCCGCCGGAGTCAGCTGCCGCAACCATGGCGAAGTAGGCCAAGATTTCAAAGAAGCATTAGTCATAGGGCATCTATTTCCTGTAATTGAGGGTATTGTGAAGCGTTGTGGTCTTATTCTTGCTAATCTTGTTGTTGGTCCTTCTGGATTTGTTAATTCCAGAAATGCATACACATACTTGGCTAAGATTGCAGAACACAAGGAAGGTATACCTTTGCTTGAATACCTTTTGGAGGATTGAACATTTTGAGCATTCTACCCACGTGTATACACTCTAGAATTGATTCATTAATTGTCAAATTAACATTCTAGAATTGAGCTCAGCAATTCTGAAGCGGCTCAATGATTAAAGTGTGTTAGTACCCAATTTTGATAAGATTTTGATGATGCCACTATACTTTGCACCCGTACATTGTGTCTAAATTAAATTCAAGAATTAGCACTCAAATTATTCAAATGTGACAAAATAAATGTACAATTTTTGAGACTAATGAAATAGTACCGGAAAAAGTAAAAATGCAATAAGGTACTTTTTGTTTACCTTAAACGGATATTTAGATCCAACCGGCACATATCATTTGGCTCAAAGATTAAATAAATGTCACATTTTAAAGATGCTCAAAAAATCATATACATCAAAGGTGTATGATTGGAAGACAAAACTTGACTAGCATTAAAAACTTAAACAGGTACATGGTCCTACAGCATGGGACGTCCTTTTGGAGTGAAGCTGCAGCGGCTGAAAACAAAACCCATGCCGCGGCCCAATTATTCAAGACAGAAAACAAAAAGATTAAAAGCTCCTGCACAAAAAGACGAATGTACAATTCGTCCCAGCCAGACCCTCAACGCACAAGATTAATCCATCTCAACCAACGGATGAGATTAATCAACCATGAAGGCCTATAAATATAGGTAGAAGCATGAGTTCAAAAAACAAGCTTGAGCATCCTAAGTAGAGAAGTAATTTCATCAAAGCATATACGAGATATCTAGCAAAAGAGAAAGTGCAAACTCAACTTTACTCTCTGCTTAGCCTCATGCTTCACTAAGCTCTTAGATTAGATCAATACTTTTACATTTTTAGAGCTTAGTTCATAGTTGGAGATTAGAACTTTCTTGTAACATTTCACAAGTGGTTGTAAACACTTAGGAGAACAGTTGTTCGGATCCTAAAGTGTAGTTAGATAGATAGAGTACCTTTTGATCCCCACTGGATCAATTGAGAAAAGTCTAAGGACTGAGTAACTTTGAGTGGTGCTATACTCATTGTGAAAAACCTTCAATCTAGGCCTAAGAGTTGTAAAGGCTAGATTGGCACTAAGTGTATTGGGCTGAATACTTTAGTGGAAATCCATTTGAAAGAGAATGGGACTGGACGTAGGAGGATTACACCACCTCTGAACCAGGATACATCGTGTGTTGATTTCACTTCATTCAACAAAACACACACCCAGCACTTCTCGTATAAAGATTGTAGTTTGCCAGCAGCATCTTAAGCAGTTGTCTTAATTGACCCAACTGCTTATCCTTCTGCTTAATTACTCACTCTCTTTGAGGCTATCTCCATACAATTCACTTGCTAAAGCATTACCAAAAAGGTTGTTCTGTCAGTTCTCGGAAATTCACTTTCAAAGTATAGCAGGTGCCTCAGCAGTCTCCTCAGTACCACCCAACTGTTGAGCTCCCTGCTCACTTACATATATTTCTTTTAAACAACTCAACATCACCAGATCCTCATAACATCATCACACGAAGTTTTGCTTAAAAGGATCTCTGAAAATCTGCCTATAACCTAAGCAGGTGACTCAGCAGTTCCCTTTGTACCACCCAACTGCCAAGACCACTGCTCCAGTTAAACTTCATCTTGACCTTACTTAAGTACCTTTTCAGACATCTTTCTTGCGTTCTAAACAACGTTTCATCATCACTCTCATCATAAAGTCAATGGTTCTCTAGCAGTTACCTCAGCAGTTTCCTGCTACCTAGCCTACTGCTAAGCTAACTGCCAAGCCCACTGCTAGCTATCTAAGTCCAAATCTTCCCAAAATTAGAAAGTGGTCAAACACGTATTACATAAAGGGTAAAGACTTCCGCTGTGCATCTGTTAATCTCTTTAAAAGATTATAGATCAATTCATCTAGAGGAAAAACTTCATTAAATTGAAAAAGATTTAAAAGTCTATTCACCCCCCCTCTAGACTTTTACCCTATCCGGGACCATCAAGTGGTATCAGAGCGGGTGTTCCTAGAGTCAGTTTCTGACTAATTTGAACTAAAGATTCAAACCACTCTACTTCCCAAACACCTTCAAAAATGGACAGTCAGCTAGCCAAGAACCTTCTGTTCAATTTGAACAAATTTGATGACTGGAAAATAAGGATGAGAGCACATCTCAGTGCTTTACATGATGAGATGCTTGAAGTAATTACTGATGGACCTATCAAAATAATGAAGGTCATCACATCCAGAACCACAGAAGGGACAGATGATGTATACATTCCAAAACCCAAAATGGAATGGACAACTGAGGACAGGAAGAGAAACAATCTTGACAACATTGCCAAGGACATTCTCTTCAAATCTGTTGATGAATCTATATTTCCCAGAATCAGGAAATGCGAAACTGCCAAAGATGTCTGGGATGAGCTCACAAAGATTGGAGCAGGGGATGAACAGGAGGACAATAAACTGACCATAGCCCTGAAAAAATTTGAGGATTTCAAAATGCTGTCATCTGAATCTATCCATGAGATGGAATCCAGATTCCTGAAGATTGTGGCAGAGATCTCTGACCTTGGGAAAGAACTTTCTCAAAAGGAAATTTCCCTTAAAATCTTAAGAGGCCTGCCATCAAAATGGGACATGAAGGTAA